GCCGGAAATGCGCCACGGAAAGAACGGGAAAATTTTCGCTCCTTCCTTTGAGCGTGAGGGCGACGCGTTATCCTACCTCGTTTAAATTTTTGCCGGTCGAGTAATGCAGAAGAAAATTAAGGAAATGAAAACGGATGATGCGAAAACGTAAACACACAGCTACAGCGAGAAAAACTCACTCGCGACGAGATGCCTCTCTCTTTCTCTTTCGCGAAGTTCGCGGAGGACGCTCGGAGGTTCTCTCGACAAGATCCTTCACCGCGCGTTTTTTCTCGTCATGACGATGAAAAGATTGCGCAGTAAAAACCGTGAGATTTCTGCTTTATGAGACAGTTATACATAATGCCTATATCATATTATATAGAAGAAATATATGCACTAGTCAGAGAGAGAGAGAGGGAAAAGTACGAACCGATTCTCTCTCTTTCTCTCTCTTACTCACTTACGGGATATTGTTTTAATACCACACATTTACATGAAGTATTACAGAAACGTGATATGTTTGAATAATTGACATGGCGAGTATAGTGCAAAATATTGCGTTTACCCCGGCGTCGCAATTATCCCGATTAATCACATATGAATTGTATTGTATAACGAACTCTCTGAGTTCATTACAAAGCCTATCAACGGATCTCCAATTAACAATGCAAATTATTACGTCGATTCGCCGAATAGGATCGTTATATTATATACAAATCATCGCGCACCGAAGCGATCGCAAATCTTCACAATGACTTCGATAGCCACGTGTAGTCGTTATGTCAATAGAGCGTCGGTGATAGGACTGATAAAAATAACAAGCTGATATCGCGAAGTTACTTGCTTCAACGAGAATATCTACGCATCTACGGAAGTCGATGGCTTCGGGTTCGATCTCACGTAATAAACTCAAACCCAACAGTAAGCGTTCCGTAGACGCCTGTTTCAATCCCGACACGCGATACGATACATTGCACTCGGATAAACTTGAGTGCACTTTAATCCAGTCAGACGCGTCTTAACGCGCAACATGGAATCACGACACTTTAATGTTTCGCGAGTATTTGAAAAAGGAATATTTTTTAGCTCAGTTATATTATTCACCGAAAAAAGACCCTGATACAAATTAAAATATTTTTATCGTATTTAAGATTACTTGTTGCGACCATATATTATAATGAGTGAGAAATAAGAAAAAAATGAGAAATTATATAAAACTTTTTCTTGCATTTTATATGTCAAAGAAAATAAATTTTTCGCATGTCATTACGTAGCATGAAAAAATAAACTGGTGAAATCTACCGAAGTGTTCCTTTTTTAGCTGTTCCGGATAAATTACGATGTATAAATTTAATCTACACATGTTTTATATTTCTAACGATATATAGGATAGCGGTTTTACACGTGTATATTTATGTATGTGTGTGATGTGTGATTCAGACAATTGATTCATCTGTTTTTTAATTCATAAATGCGAAACAGAGTTTTTACCACACTTTACGATCATATGCTATCAATTACAAGTGGTGAAAAAAAAAATTGCCAATCTCGAATGTGTATCATAAAAATAAATCACGTATATGTAATTTTTCGATATATCCGATCATTCAGTTATAATACAACTATGATTTTAACCAATGTGATATCCGGACTATTTTTTTCACGAATCACTAACGATAAAAACGTCCCCGCAATTTATTTTTGTCGATATCGATTCATCACTCTTGGTAGGCAGCCTAATAATTACAAGACAGCGGATATCAGTAATCTCTTTCTCTCTCTCTCTCTCTCTTTCTCTCTCTTTCTCTCAACTCTCTCTTTTTCCTATTTAGAGAGTCATAATTAAATATACCTATACCCCGATATACAACAAAAACGTTGACCAACGGATAACATCCAAAATATTTTCTTTGTTAATAAAGCTTATTTTATCGCTTTTAATGATATACCCTAATAATGAGGCGGCATAGGCGATGTGCCGCGATACCACCCTCTCTTTTCATGGTCTCTCCATTATCACTAATTATTCTCCCGAATGGGAACGCGCGGCCGCTTAATCGAGCGCGGTGGAAAACACGGACCGTGACCGGAGATACGGAAAACCGCTGACGCACGTGAGCTTTCCACGTGGTCGCGTTAAACTGACACGACGAACCGCCACTGGAAAGAGAAAGAGACATATACTAACTACTCATTTACATCCCATGTAAATCAAAAGAGAGAGAAAGAGAGAGCGCATTGTGCATTTTGCCTCAACCTAATCGCATTTCCCATTGTTACGTTGAAAAAGGAAATAGAACTCGATCGCTACCGTGTTGTGCCATTGACCATCGTATGTTAGCGATTAAGACTATCATTATGGTATACAAGGTCGCCTTCGCTCGACCAAGCTTAGTCATGGTCAATCTCGGTCAAGTATAGCTTCTTTGTTTTTTTCCTTTATTCTTGCTATGTGCGTCTCACGTTAGACATATGCTTGCTGGTTTCTTATCTTCTCGGGACGTCGTATACGATAATTTTATCAGGCATCACGTAATCTCAGGAAAATAATAAAGCATGCATTTTTTTATATACAATACTTGTCGACTCATCGATTATCAACGCCGCTACTTTACGCAAATGAACCGTTTTTTATCAGTAATCTCTTGTTTAGATTTTTGAGTATGATGATATCAAGAGTATGATCATTTTTATTTTATCTCAATTGATTATTAAAAAATAAGAGGAAATACAATTTTTTGTTTTAATTATTCAATTATTTGCAAATTTTGCGACGATGGAAGCGCGTAAAATATACTTTCCTCCATGTCGGTTTCGTTCGTAATGATGCGCGTCGGGATTAAGTTTCTTATTGAATAATTGCAATCGGTATTAAATAATAAAAGAATCGATTACTCGGAAGCTGCGAGCATTTTAACAATGTCAGTTTCTAGCAATAAATGAGATAAGACATCTCTCGCCGAGAAGCGGTGTCTCAAGTAGTGGAATTCGCAACGGAATTCCGCGGTCGTTCTGATTAACCAGTGAATCAACTCTGGGGAAGGAAACCTGGGGCGCCAATCCTTATCGCGTACTTTAAGGGCAGCCTCGTGAAAATTCACTCGGCGGAGATTCCATTCGAAAATCGAGAGTTCGCTCTTTGTTTTCCGCCGCGTTGATCCCGAATCGGATTTACGCGCGAACGCCCCCCGCGTCTCTGTCGAAATCGACATCGAAATGCAATCGCGAGTCGACAATTATATCGGACGAGCGATCGAGATTGGTTCGTTTTAAGGAGGGAAAGGAAAATTAGTAGGAAAAGAAGAAATGGAGTTTGCATTTTTTTATGAAAACAGCGCGACTTTAATTTTAATTTAACGAAACTGTTCGATATCCGACAAATGATGAACTCTGTTAAAAGTATAACTAGATATCGCGCATTAACTTCTTCATTAGAGAAATGTTTATTTATTCAACGCCGTTCTTCACAACAATTATCGCGAATAGCACACCGCTTATCATTTCGAACATGATACCGTGTTTTAATCGCACCGAATGCATTGCTATATGTAACCGAAGTGGTATTTATTAGCTATATAACTACGAAACATTATCTGATAACGTGTAATGCAATCCAAAACTTGTCGCAGATGGACGGGAAGTTTCCGTCACTCCCTTCCACAAGCGACTGCGAATGCGTTTCATATTTGATATTACGAGAGTCGATGAACCCGCAGAATCTTTCGTGGCAGAATCTTTCGAATCTCCGGAGCGAATCGGTTCGCGCCGGAAAAGACCGGTTCTCCGCATTCAAAATGCCTGTTGCACCACGACCGCGATTAATCTGCATAACATGACCAATCTTAGATGCTAATTTTCAATGTCAGTCTTGCGACATCATTTCGTGATACATATGCAAACGGCACGATTATGAGCGATACGACTCGTACATACAACGGTACATGCATATTAAAGGGTTAATGAAGGAGCAAGTACACCCTCTGTTTCTTGTTAGACACTCGCAAACATTTTACGGTATTCAAAACACGAGAAATATCTAAATTAGATTGCGTCGAGGTAGTCCAGTGTGCAAAGTGATCCCCTAAGTGCAACAGGAAACGTTGATTAATAGGAGGAACTCCGCGAACGTAATTTTCCCCCTCCCGACGTGCTACCTTCTCTACCGGGAATTTATCTGAATGACAATCGAGTTCCGCGCACGAAAATATACAAGGCGCTCTCTGGGTATAAATCTTTAGGGTAATCTCCGAATCGAGCGGAAATTTCCATTCGTTCGACAACTCGAATTGGAGTGGCTAAAGAAATTCCACTCGCTGACCATGACGGTGAAGGTTATCGATTCGGCGAGCTACTCGATATATGATTCACGCAATGTGAGTTACATATGCACGTGTAGTTTTTATTATGAATATTTGCGTTTTACGCAAATAGCGAACAACGATTTAACGATCGTAATTAATGAAATTTTATATCCGGATTCTATATCGCGCAAGAACACAAATCACTTTATGTAAAATACAGAATATTACTTACCATTATGATGAAAAATTCTGCCTGGCACGATACACAAAGTCGAATATTAGGACTTTGTAAATTAAGCCATCGACGGAGTTACCAGTAAATACAGCGGATAATACTCGATTACTTTGGCTTATACGTCCTTCATAAAATATACAATGGTAGATCTAAAATTTGAAAAATAAGAACGAAATTATAAATTGTTTTTAACGATGTTTGAGTGGAAAAAAGTTGCGAATGAATAATCGATTAGTTTCAATGACTCTTTGACAGCAGCCTGCTCCAGAAATGTGCGCGAGATGCTGACAAATTATTGTTATATTGGCTATACGTTAAACTTGATCAAGTTGTTTTTGTTCGATTATCGTGGCGAATCACCGTAAATGTTCTCGCTATTTCTTGACGATTTATATCGAACTATGATTAATTGTCTTATAATTCCTTCTCTCACAACACATTTCTTAAACTATTGACCTGGTTTATAATCATTTGAAAGAATATCTGCCATTAAATTTTTATTTTCAAACATCTCTATTACAATGTGACAAAAAAAAAGCATATTAAACGTTAGAATACATTTTTTTTTATTTGTTAAGCGCTTTTATTATCGCATAATCATACGGAACCATTCTCTATTATTAGATTTCCGTATTATTAGGATCTTAAAACGCGACTGCATTGAATGTTAAATCTATTCTTCTTTTTTATAAAGTTTTTGGAATACTTTGGATATCGACTATTGCTGCTCAGAAACAGTTTTCACTACGGATTGCAATTACGTTCCATGCGGCATGGTATTTCGATACATGCGAACCACATGTGTATCGAAAAATATACTTTTCTCCATTCTACATGTGTCCAATGTCGAAAACTTTCTATGACTTTTTTTGCGGAACCCACGGCTCTCGCTATTCACAACGTTGCGCAAACACGAATGCACACTCCACCGAAATATCGATTTCGCGTGATTTCATTGCCTGAATCTCCGATAGAAAAAAAAAAAATATGATTCTGAATGAATAATAGTCATGTATTGACTTTTTACTTACCGTAATAAGAAAATAAAAAAAATTCCTCTATAAATCTGGATTAAATATAAAAAGAAAATCGAATCACAAATGCAATCACATCTAGATCCGCGCGGATCCAGCACTTTTGGTCTTCCGGCTCGTAGAAATCTGTCAAAGTATGTCAATGATCCGTTGTCGAACCTGTAACTCTCTTTACAACACGTGACAACACGTCTTGCGATCGCAACATGAACCGTTGCTCCGTGAAATTCCCGATAAATCCCGTTTAGGAGCATACAGATCCACTGTCGCACCTAGCTCGTGAAGAGAAAATAACGTTTTGTGCACTCGATCGTATATATTAAATTATCGCTCTAAAATATTTATAAATGTTCCCGTATATTAATCATTTTATTATTGGTATTCCCGATAAACCTCCTCTGCTTCACCATGTGGCCACCTGCCAATCGAATCTGAAATATGGAAAAAACGAAATTTGTCAGATATTTATATCGTGATATGCTGAGAAGATTGATGTATTTATTACATTATCATGCGTTATTAAGATAACTATACCAAGCTCATTTCTCTTTACAAATTTTCTTTACTCCTTTTAAATTGAAATATTAAAAAAATCTATAGATAATAATATATAACTATTTTTATATTTTTAAGCTATGTTTATAAAAATATTATATGACTTTAAATCCTCTTATATAATATAGGTAATCCCCTTATTTTTGTGTATGAATAATATAAATTTTTATGTGTAAATAATATAAATTTTAAATAAAGTCTGAAGTAAATCGCATTTTTGAAATCCAAGTGCTTCGTATAATTTATTTTACAGCTGTGCCAACACGCATGTATATATTTAATGATATTGCTTAATATCTCTTTGCAATGTAAATATTTTTTTATTGCTATATGCATGTTCTTTCGTCATGTACTTTTTCTCCGATAAAAATAACTCCAAATCTTTTATTCTCTCACATGCCTGTTTGTCACGAAGGGTTAATTTATCAGCTATTCTCTTCAATTTTTTCCATTCGTTTAATTTGTGGCGTCGTCCGACTCGATGTGACAGTCTGTCAGGCTTGTCGGCTGCTTCGTTCGCTTTAATTAATGTATATACTTTTTCATGTGCCGTCAGTTTCGCGAACTTATATAATAGACTCTCACATCCCGTTAAATAGAAGAATGAATAAATCATCGACAAATCCTACAGAATCGACGCGCGAAAACGCATTCTCTCCCGATTTTCCTAATTATCCTTAATTTCTAATACCGCCAGGAGAGTGACGTGATTCGTTTAAAATCCTGCGGTGAGTCTCTCGTCTCGTGATTAATTTATGTAGTTTCTTACGACGCTTAGAACCCTGCAGCGCGATCAATAAGGAACGAGCGGGCGGTGCAACCGTAGCAGGTACACGCCACACCGTTATACAGTAATCTCTACCGTAATAGTAAAAACGCGAGCCGCCTTTTGTTGGACTTAATTCGTCCGTCGGAATCGCCTTAAACACGATCGTGTCTCGCACGATAAGGAGACGGAAAAGACATGCCGAGTTCACTTTGTGCGAACTCCTTTCGTGACCATTTCCGTGAGTCACTTGCGAGCGATTTCCATAAAGAGTACACGTAATCGTCTAAAAAAAACGACGAGTCATATTCCGTTAAAGGGCAAATGCGATACATAAAATCGAGGAAAAATGCCGCGCGTTAATCCGCTTTGTGGAAAATAAAGTCCAAACACGTGATTCGCGCCGGACTTAAATCACCGTAAACCACGTTTTGAAACGAGCGATTAGCTGCGGAGCCGGAACGATGATGTAATGCCGGCGGGATCAGAATAATAGCAATCTCGCGGACAACGATCGCGAGTAATTAGATGATGAGCGGACATTGGTTAATGGAATTACGGATATTCAGAGCAAAATGATACTCACACTCATCGGGTACGGACTGTCGTTCCACGCTAACAGTTCGAATATATGTATATGTATATAATATCTTTAACAGCCCTTTCAACCGACGGTATTGATACCCATTGACGGGTGCAGATATCGATCTGAAAAAAAGTGCAATCAACATAAATATTCATTATATAAATGATAAATACATAGCGTATGAAAGAGTAATGTTATAACATTTTGGAGTAATTTTAATGCTAATGATAATCCGATTTTCGAAAATTCTGTTAATTAACAACAAATAATTAACATGTCTCATTAAATAATATGTTGGATCATCGTGATTATTTACGAGAAAAGTAAAATTATATTGCTACAATAAAACGAGGAATAATTATTAGGATAAGAATGATTACGTTAAACAGGATAAGGAAGAGATGAAACAGATATCCCATCCTTAAAAATGTCATTGCATATCAATAAGGAGCAAAAATAAACACATCTTATAAATTTATATGCATATCGCATACGCGAATGAACTTTTCTAAAATATTCTTTACGTCACTTTCAAATAAACAGTTGATTCGCGATATCGACAGAGATCCTTGTCGAGATCCTTCCATCGCGAAAAATTTTTAAAGCTCCCGAAACTTTGACACGCGCAAGATAGCGACTTGCCGAAACTCATAAAAAATTCTCTTCCGCAAATGCCATCGGAACGAACGAGTTACGAAGATGCCACGAAGTCGTCTTTGTCGTTGCTACCGGGTGTCTCGCTCTTATTTGCATCTCAATCGCGGCCTAACGTCTCCCCTGGCAACGGCTATGAATTTTATTCCGGTCTCATATTTCTGGTCCCCATTGTGGAGGTTGCGTGATGCGGCGCAGTCGCCCCTCTTTCTTTACTATCAATCATCTCCGTTGCTGCCGTTACTCGCCACCTCGGGGCTGTATTCCGAACTTTTGCGTCATCCTTTTGCGCGAAGAAGCGAAGAAGAGGACGACGAGGTCTTCGACGGCCTCTTCCCTTGCGCAAATTTCACCCGCCACTTGCTTCTCCTCCTCCCCCTCCTCCTCCTCCGATCCTCTCATCGCAAACAAGAATTCCGCAAACGCCCCCGGGGCCGTGAAATACGTGAGGGATGCGCGTCTAAACGCCGAGAATCCTTTCGCGAGAAAATGCAGAACGCAGCAGCGATCCTTCCTCTTTATCTCGGAATATCTCGGTTAAGCATCGCGCGACTAGAAATCTCGTCGGGCGGACAAAACACACCGCGACATTCTCCGCATTTTCAATCTTTGTCATCGTGTCGCTCCATTCGTATGAGTAACACGGCATTGTTGATCGTTTCTCTTACGGATGTTGGGTAGTATTAAGTAAAGTCTCGCGAGAGAGCAGAATTTTTCTCAAGACTGGACGGGAAAAATATCGAGAAAAAGCTCAAGAGAGATCTATTGTATTTAGTTATACATTTCAATTCAATGTCTTTTTATATTTAAATAAAAAAATTGATAGTTCCATAATCACACTCTTTTATTCCATAAATTATAAAACCGTACATGTACATGATCAGCAGGTGGCTCGTACATTGCCTTTTAATCATCGTTCTTCCGTCACAAAAGCTCGAGCTTGAGCGACGCTGGTTGGTTCGATATTATCGGATAAAATGAAGGAAGCCTCTATAGTGGTAAAACTCATAATGCTTGTCAACGGGTTAAAGAAATGGAGGGAACACGGGATATTGCCGGACCGTCATATTCTTCCTTCAATGTATCCTATCAACGTCTACGTAACGTCGGCGCATTTTCCCTTTCTTCCTCATCGTGACGATATCTCGTGGAAACGCGAGAGGCAAGACGATGAGCTCGTTTTCCCTCTTCCCTGTTTCAATCCTTTTGCTCAAAGAGGCATTCGCATGCCGCTTCAGGATCGCGAAACTCACGGAGAAAGTGCATTTTTAGACGTCGAGCAGAATTTCAAAGAGAATCACGCTCTATTGACGACATTTTATCTTCGATTTTATACAAAAATATTGTTGCTTTTTTTGAAAAATCTTTTTTTTTTTAAATTCAGCTATTCTAATGTTTTTATATAAACAGTTACATCAATATTTGACATGCCATGAATATATATTGTATATTAAGAAATAGTAAAGCATAAAAATGTAATTATTTCGATAATCTATTTAATTGTGAATTATATCTATTTTTTATATTAATTATAAAAACATTTGCATTTTTATTGATGTATAAAATATTAATGAAAAAATACCTTACGTATAATTGCGCGCGATTAAAATATGAATGTAATATTTACACTCCTTCGAAATAATATGCAGAGAAATGTTATTTGAACATTTCTGAACACGCACCTTAATGTACCTCTCTTATAGTTATTTTATCATTACAGTTTTTTCATACCATCCTGTTTCATTAAAGAAACAATCTTGTAAAAATGTTAAACATCGTAAAAGTATTTAATTAAGCATAATTTACGGTATCTATAAAAGAATATCTTAAAAAAATATCTTTTTCTACGATATTACAGATAAAAAAATATTACAGATCTCGCCTTGAAAGTCAAAGAACTCGATAAAGATGGGTGCGATGTACTTTATGTAGCATACCATATCGGAGTATTATTATTACGTAGCACTCGGACATTATTATCTCCAATCGATCAATACTATAGAGAGAGAAAAATCTAAATATAATATCATGAAAAACTCTAGTATCAGGCAACTGACAGAGTCCGCAAAATATCGTGACTTTAAAATCTCGAACTTTTGAATATTTATTCAAATATTTAAACAGAGAAATCGTTCCTTTGTACGGTACTTTAATATTTATCTAAGTCCTTAATTTTATTCAAGTATGCAAATCTGATTTCGAAATGATTAAGAAACAAGTTGATAAAAACAAGTACAATGAAATTATAATTCCGATATCCGTATAATTATATAGAGCACGATTACATAACGCCCAAGTATTATTATCCAGTGTGTCAAGTAAAAATATAAAACTATTTAAAAAAATAAATATAAAAATATAAAAAAAGAGACTAATGCGACATCAATTATCAATCCACGGATTATATGATGACTTCAAAGATGCATTCACACCTACCGGAAACCTTCCAAACCCTACGATCGATAGCTCGTTTCCTGTCGCGAGAGACCCTCCATAGTTTCGAACAAACCAGAAGAGACGAAGTTTTCGAAATCGACGAAGCACGAATCGCACGAATGCACAGATCTGACTGGTCGTTTGGTCGGTGGGCGACTCTACCTACTTGTTTTCTTGGTTGCCACTTAGATATATATATCGCGATTATACGGGCTTGCCCTTCCCGTATACTGCAGCAAGCCTACAACACACGCAATTACAACACGCTCGAGCGGGTCGCTGTTCAACAGATCGATAGTTCTGAAATCACTCACGCTAATTGCGAATCTAAGGTCTGATCAAAAGTCGCGTGTATTTCAAATATATAGAATTTTTTTTTTTTTTGAATTATTGATATTAATTATTAAGAATTTTCGTTTCTCTTTCCTTCTCTCTCTTTTTCATAAATATTAGGGAATTATTTCACTGCGAGTGACTCAACAATAATTACGTAGGCACAAAGCATTTGCTCGCAAAATTTATGCTATCACTATCAAAGCCTGCTTATCGCAGGTAGCCGTGAGGCCTACGGCGGGGCATTGTAAAATCAATATCGTTCTGAGAAAACTGACGTTACGCCGTATAATCGATCCCGGCCGTGAGAGCAGAGCGGCATGGGAGCGCTGTCAAAAGCATCCGAATATACATCGAACGCGCCGGGGAGATTACAGCAGATTCAATAAGATTCCCGGTTCCCCTAAAGCGCACGCGACACATGCATCGCACGTTTCCCTCCCCCGAGATCTCGAAAGGGCCAACTACCGAGCATCGGATCCAAAGAAGAAGAGAGGCGTGGAGGGACGCGGAATAGACGTCGCGGAATAGACGTCACACGACGGGATCTTGTTCGATCCCGAAATCCCTTCGCAGACATCTTCTTCCAGCGTTACGACATCGCCCGACTGTTAGACACGTTTTACAAAATGACGCTAATAGAGGCGAATAAACATCGCTCGACGTAGGGAAACAAGAAATCGCGCACATTATGTTGTCGTATGTCAGCGATATATTTTTATAAACGCGAACGCACGATATCGCCAAAATTGCATAATAAACAATGACAGGTGCATTTGTGGGATTGATGTTTGAGCGCGATCGCCGAATGACGCGGTAAATTACACGCGGGTGGATAAAACAAATCCATTGATGGTTCGTTTTTCCGAGATCCTCTCGCCCGCGTAATCGCATTTTCGATGAGATACTCGGCGTGAAAAATGCATTTACGCTCTTTGTAAATAAATTGCGGCGGGAATTACGGGTATCGATATTTTCAGCCGCTTCACGTCATTTAAAGTCAATTTTAGGTGAGTTGCGAGGGAAATTAATGCTGTCGCGCCGATAGTTTATTTTGATTATCGATATTTGCTGATAAAATGATAATCGTGAACAAATTTGAGAAATATTGTTATACAAAAGGTTAAATTCGAATCAGCTTTTGCGGAAGAGACATTATTTGTGTTTGCTATACGATTTCGCGTTATTCATATGTTACTGACGAAATGATATCCATTAATTAATTATAATATATGATATCTAATTCACTTATATAGATGAAATGTGGTTTCATTAGGAAGCATTTGCACAATTAAACGTTGCATAATGTAAGCGAGAGATAAATTAAACCATCTACTAATGGAACAATATTCGCCGCGTATAGCTCGCGTGTATAAGAGGAAAGCGTGTGCAAAAAGTGGATAGATTTAAAACGCCCGGTTATCCGGTTCACGTGGGATAAGACTGGTTGTCGCTATTTTAAGGCTACGTAATACAGCTATCATAAATTTGCTCGCGCACACACGCGTAATGTGGCTGTGATGCTAAAATAGCATAAAACTATTTTCATATATTTGCGAAGTCTTCGTATACGAAAGAAACGTACGGCTGTTCATTAGTCACAAAGGACGCGAGAATAGTACAAAGGTGGTTTTAGAACGAAGAAATAATTGCGGAATCATTCCTTGTGATATAATGCTACGCATTTTCATCAACGGGATTATAATACGCATACGCACACATTCATTTATATTTGTTAAAGAATTCGTATTAATTATAATTGTGCTAAACGTCAAAAAAAGAGATACTAAAAATATGACATTTTTATCATGGAGAATTACTTAGCTAAAAATTAATTTATGGAAATAACCGTATAATATTTAATATTTGCAAATTTTAAGAATCTAGAAATCTGAAGATATATTTTAAAAATTTACAAAGATTTTCAAATATAATTTTTGTTATATTAAAAGTGAAGAAAGATTATGCTAAAAATAACGATGACTGACAAATATTGAAATAACATTTAATAATTTATACTGAAACAGACAATGTTTATGCTAATATATGTACGAATATTTTGAAAAAGAATTTTAACAGACAAGATATGATAATACATCAGTGGTATATTACAACATAAAAAAATTAATTGACGGAATATCTAACTAACTTACCTAATTATTTAAATGAACCAAACATTGATGAATTTTTTTACTGGTTATAATTTTTTTATTTCGTTCTCTCTTTGGTCTATAAATTTAATAGTGTCAAATGCGCTTTCGCCAAGTATCTCCGGTATTGGAACTCGGTAAGCCCGTCGACGAGTCATTCGTTTTGCACATTCGTCCGATGACACGTTTGTTTGTTTGATTGAATTTTTTCGCCGCAAGCTGCCCGCTGGGCATTGATTTATTTTCATGCGCACACTATGGCTTCGAGACTCGACCGGCAAATTTATAGCGTACGATTTTCCACGTATAATCGCACTGTGGACACAACGCCCGCCTCCATCAATTTTCTATCCTGATATCGCGTTTGATAATAGCGGCTGATAAGTCTCACCGCGATCTGTCGACGCCGCATCGTCCTGCGTATGTATAAATTTGCACAATTCCTCGTGTACTCCGTATACGCGTGCACCACGTGACCCACATTTATCATGCAAAGGTCACGCACAGGTAGCAATAAATGCAAAGTTTGAACGTTTAAAACGATTCGTATTGATTATATTCCATCAACGATCTAATGCTCAGTTTATTTGCGCGAGGAAATATCGATTACGCCAACGGAAAATAAATTGAGATCTTTATATCTTCCCTCGTGTATTAAATAACAGTTAGTATATATGTATATATATATGTATATAACCGACATTTTATTTTTAATGCTCTAGCAAAATTGCTTTTGATCTACCCAGCAGATTCTCATACGGTGTACTTTCCATACAAGAGAGAGAGAGAGAGAGTATCAATATATAAAATTTTATTTTTAACCGTCTGTTAATTTTAACTGATCTCAAATTCATTTTTAAGGAAGATTTCAACATCTAGCGAGGAGAAATTACTAATGCAAAATAAAATAAAAAATCCATTAACATTATTCGACATTTAAAAGGCATTAGATAAAATTAAAATAATATATTAAATTTTATTTTTAAATTAAAATTGCCCCAGATTATTGCCAAAATCAATCGCCACTATAACGATTCTCATGTCTATATCGCATATTATATACTACTTACTTTTTTACATAGGAAAAATTCAAAAGACTCGATGACTAATGTTGGACGCAATTTCTTTCGCGATAAAGTAATCCTCAGGTGTAAGAGCCGTTGCTTTCTCTTTAGAGCACTTTAGAAGATTAAAAAAAGACTCCTGTCGAATAGTATAACGATTCACTCGACCGACTACGGCTCGATACGTTACGGACAGAAGACAGTTTTACACTGACCCCCCTGCCACCAGAATCTCTATGTATATCGTCCACAACCTACCACATTGCGTGACTGAATAGTCTACATATGAGTACGCACACATATTGACGGTCGCTCGTATGTGTCTGCCCGAGTCTGCTTGGCAGACATAAGTGCCGGCTTTAGCACCCACCGCGTCAGCAATGACTTGACAGATATATTTTTGTCCAACAAAAAAATTTCAGATTTTACATGCAATATATCTTCTATGATTTGAAAAAGTATTTTCATAATGAGTCTAAATAAATAATGTAGGAAGTTTTATATAATAAAAAGATAAAAGTTATAATATTTTTGATCGAGAGTCTAGAAGAAATAAAAAAGAACATGATATATTTGGGTATTCTAGAACTTGGAAGCAACTTTATTAGAGATCTGAAATATTTCGAATGTCTAGACTTGCCATATTGTTTGGGTGACTGTACTATTTCTCAAGAATAAACTATCTTTCTTTTATCAGAGTTATTTTAACCACATTATTAGTGTAAAAGCATCTGAGATATTCAGTAAGGATATAATTTATACAATGTGTTACATTACGTAATGATAATTGCAATTACTTTAATAAATATAAGCATTAACATTTGTTGGAAATCAATAATAAAAAACAAGATTAAGTAAATACAGAAATAATTTTGTGTACGTATATCAGAATTGCACGTTCTGCAAAAGTTTCATTTTAAAAAAGCATATAAAAATTTTATAAAAGAAGCATATATATATATATACAGGGTGTTTAAAAAAAATATTTTAATATTTATATGGTAGATACATTATTATTTAATATTTATATGGTATAAACATTTTTGTATGTTACCATCATGATTGACTTACCGGCTTCTACGTGTCGCATGCGACGTGAGAAGAAAATAATCTGTCTAAATCTTAATCTCGATATTTAAGGTGCCTTTTAAAAAAGCATATAAAAATTTTATAAAAGAAGCATATATATATATATACAGGGTGTTTAAAAAAAATCATTTAATATTTATATGGTAGATACATTATTATTTAATATTTATATGGTATAAACATTTTTGTATGTTACCATCATGATTGACTTACCGGCTTCTACGTGTCGCATGCGACGTGAGAAGAAAATAATCTGTCTAAATCTTTATCTCGATATTTACAGAAGGTGTTCCACATGTCCTCTTTCCATTTCCATCAATTCCACACACGCTTGGCATCTTCTTCTTACAGGATCATGAACTCTCTTGAAAATTCCAGATCTCTGTCGAATTATTTGACAAGCACGCTGGATTCGATCACGTAATTCTTTTAAGTCATTTATCGGCGAAGAATACACTACGCTTTTCAAATAACCCCGTAATACGCTGACATTTTCAACACGATACTTTGTAACTGTGTAATCACCAAATAGATCCGCAATCGCCGGTTGATGACAATTGACTGATTGCCGCTGAAATCTTCTGTTATGAAGTCTGTATGGAAATTTAATGAAAACATTCAGAACGCGGTTTATAAACACTGAGGTAAACATCGCATGCGGCACGTATAGAAACCAGTAAGTCAATCATGATGCTAACATACAAAAATATTTATATCTCAGAAACGGTTGAGCTTTCGACTTATATTTACTAAGGTTTTTTTACTCGGTGTGTCCTATCTAACATATAAATATTAAATGATTGTTTTTAAACACGCTGTATATATATATGTATATAGAGAGAGAGAAAGAGAAAGATTAAGTTTGACGACAACAATAAATAACGAGGAAATAAAACATACGTTTTTTTTATTCTTTTATTTTGTTCGGCGCTGCTGGAATCCCGCAAGGCTAAAACCTTTTAGAAAGAGGCTTGAAAAGGTAACGTTGTACACGAAACTCTTAAATGGAGGAGATAGTGAACACCAGTATCTCATTATTACTGTAGCACCACGAAGCGCATGTTTAAAAAGAAAGATAACATTAAAAAATTTTATTTTTATTTACTGTTTTATTATTTTTATCAATACCTTCGCGAATAAGCAAAATTTAATCTCACGAATATGAAAACCGGTTGCAAATAGTAAACCGCAAATAAAGGACGCGTGAATACGACACTGCATCTGGATGAAACATTAAAGATTTTTCTCCTGCTAAAATTTCTTTATTAAATACAAGAACTATTTGTGGTCAAAAACCGATTATTGGAATGGACATATTTTTTTAATTCACCGCCATTTTTTTAAAGTTAAGCTTATTACGTAAAATGCATCTTGAATTTAAAAGAAACGCTACGATAATATAGTCTCTTACAATGGATTGTGATATATCGTTCATATAGATTCATTTATAGAGATTACATTTTTAGAACAGAAGAAGAAAGAATACGCATTCTTTCGTAAAGAAAATATTTCAAAGTTTGAGACAGAAAACAATGAAAAATTGCTAAATCTGTTTGCTTAAAGAGACTACATGGAAACAGACTACATCGAAAACATCCGAATGTAATTTACTAACAATAAATATTGTGTCGCTCGCGAAAAATTGATATCAAGAACACCGTTATTCATCAACGAAGAGGCGATTTCTCGCATCTAGTAGAATTGTCTTTTCAATTACTACTATGATCTCGATAGGGCGTTCGATCTTTCCCTCCGTGTCGTGTCTTCCTTTTCGACGTAGAAGTCCCCAAAATTTCTCGCAGAATCTATCTCTAGTCGACGTCCGCGTAATTTGCATACGATTAATCTTGATCAACGTTGCGGCACCCTCGTCCGGGGCCCATCTTCGTTCATGAACGGGAACCGGGTTAAATGACGAACACCTACCGAGGCCATGATGGATCGTTACGTCTTGGCACAATCTCAGTTCGCCAAGACGAATTCGGCATAGCCGAATCGATCTAATTAAACGCACGCACGTACGCACGGTTGGACGGATGTGAACTGATTGAATTGCGGTATGCAGATTTGCGTCAACAGCATATTCCAATTGTGTTGCGTTTGTCGACGACGGGTATCGCATTATGTCGCAAACTGAATAACACGAGCGCGCCTAAAATTATTTATGTAGCTTGTTTATTCAATATGACGTTTATTCATCAATCTTTTTATTCTTAAATTAATATGCTTGCCAACTTAACAAGCATAATATATAATACTCTGATAAAAGACAGAATGATGTTGATTGCTGAATTTTTTTGACACGCAGGATATAACGTATTGCAAGAATACAAAATTACATCTCGCCAGATGATGTAATACATAATTTGGGGAGATGGATCGCCGTGTATAAGCATCCTGGTTATATAATCTCAAGACGGATTCCGTAGCGAAAATCGATACTAATTAGATTCGCTATAATCAATTGTTATAAGACACGAAAATAACATCCGTATTAATTGAATTGATGTGGTACCTACAGATTCACATTACAAACAACGTTTAATCTATTTCTGTTGCTACAAAAATGCTACTTGCTCGCAAATTTCATTAAAAATGTCCATACATTAAAATTCAATTGTGATTGTTCCGTGCGCTTAAAGTACTTATTATGTTATCTATTATTTTCTTAACATGCCTGTGTATTACACATGCGTATTATTTTACTGAAAATTATAAATCAATATTCGCGAAAATACAACCTGCACGATCTGCAAACAGAAATTTGCAGTCCGGCGTATAATCATTGTTTATTTCCGCGCATGCAGCCCCCCATGTTGCTATCTTCGATACCTGCATCTCTTTTTTTTTCACGCTCGTTACCGACGCACTCGATATTATTATGGTTCAGTGAACCAAAAAGCAGGAAACTCGAAATTTCCATTGCTAATGACGCGAGAGCATCCCGGCCGACGTGTTATCGTTATCTTCCGCCAGGCTGTAAGCTCGCCAACACGCGAACGAATTTAATCGCGTATCTCCGAATTTTCCATGCGATAAAACTCGCCCTCAGCTTTCATATAGTGAATATTTTACTATCAAAAATAAACGATCTCTGGCCGAGATCTAAAAGCAATCTGTTAAAAAGATAATTGTATATTACAAGTTTTCCTGCAGAAATAATGGCGTCCCATCTAGTAATCTGAGGAATACTAAATTTTTATATTTCTCTGCTCCTTATCTAAGGAAACATTGCTATGCAATAAATTTTATTAAAAAAAGCAATTATATCATAAAATCTTATCGCATACTTATCGCTATTAACCTACATTTACAACGGAACATCCCACAACTATAATTCAGTAGAAATAAAACTTTTGAGATTGATTGGTATCTAAGAAATAATTTATAAACTGCAATATTAATGTCCACATAAGAAAATAATAACTTATTAATTATTTTTTGCATAATAGATAGATTTAAAATTAATTTTTAATCCTGCTGTATTTTGTTCATTTTTTTGTACACATTTAATATTTTATCAATACATATACACGTTTCCGAGTTTTAATTTTATATACGTATAAAATTTTGGTATTGGCGTCGAACAAATATCTCTTTAAAAAATGAGTCAAATAAACGCGATTGGAATAGCAAGTTTAATATATTTCGGTTACACTGGATGAACAAAACGATCTCCTGCAAAATAGAGTATTCTCGTATTCCTGCCCACTCTCTCTGACTAGCGAAGCTCATCCAGAGATACAAAAACTATCCCATTTACCTGGTATTATCCGGCTCAGGCACGTAGAGCTTAATTTCGCCGACGATTGATCCCAAATCTCCATGTTGGAAGGATCACGGTGGCACCGCGCGATCGCAGGCAGACAGATACGGCACGACCACACCGTATCCTCGAAGATTAACCCTCTCGATTTATTTCCACCGATCTAACTCACTCTCGGTCGCCCACCGCCGCCGAGAGGAATCTTTGCGGAGACACTTGAGGGACGTGATGCTGATAAAGGATCTCCATTCACGAGGAGGGACCGCCAGTTGGCTACGCTCCCCCGAGTTACGGGAGCTATCTCGACCACGTTCCCGTGAATGCACATTGTGCGCATTGCGTTGCCCGATGACTGTCGAGCTAAGGATACCGAGGAGAGATCGTAGCCACATGACGCGCGTCGCTACGGCCGTCATCATTTATCTCCCGCTGAATTTCAGATATTTCCCGGGACGCAGGGAAGCGCGTGTCTATCCCGTTATTGCAAGACAAATGGCGCGTAATTAACACAAATAATCCGAAATAAATGAAAGAGTGCGTGCAAACAGATGCCCGATCGCACCGATCGCTCGCGTCCAATTATATGGCGATCGTTTCCGTCTCGATAAAATTGGCAAATTTGTTTAATTTGTTATTACACGTACGCAGCATTTAATCTTGATTTCGAAATTTAACACGAACCGCGTGTGAAAAAATAATGAAAAAGTGTTAACCGCGTCTTATATATATAATTCTGGATTCCGGATGTACTTTTCGCGATAATATTATATCTATGTAGGTAGATGATATATGAGAGAACGCGCGCGCATTATATTCTGTCTCGAATATAATCGCGCTAACAAGCCTAAACACCAGTTAGTACCAGACGGCGCGTTTAATCCTCGCGGAATCGCAGTCAGCGTGATTCCACGTGTTTCACACAAAAGATTTTCGGTATGTCTGCACACCGGTTGCACAGCGGTACCATTTCCGCAGGTATCATTTACTCGCCCGTTCTTCCTTTCGCTAGCTTCGTCGCATATTCTGCCGACGTCGTCGCCGCGCGCATCTGCGAATGACAGCAGTTGTTTCCAAGTTTATCCGAAGCTGCGGAACGTATTCGGCCTCTTAATTCGCTCGTCTACCGGCGATCCCTCTCCCGTAGAAGGCAAGGCAAGACACACGATAATCACCACGTATCTGGCAAAGCCGGCGGGCGAGCCGGTCTCTTGCACGTGAACGAGCGTGCACGCGGTCTCCTCTTCGTTACCTAAATTTATTCCATTATTATGCCGATGCGGTTTAAGAGAGTGGCTTAGCAAGCAAAACAGAAGCGTACTCACAGCGGAATAATTTAATGAAAATAAAGTTTGAAAAAGTCCGGATTAAATACACGACATTGTATTAAGTATGCGAAAGGAAATTTATATATATATTATATATAAATTTATATATGATATAT